TATTAAACGAATGCTTCAGGCAAAATGCTTTAAATCAAAATCAGCCCATTATTTAGTCTTTTTAGATTTTGGTAGAGATTTACCATGAGAGTAGCAAAGTTTTAAACTATTGATGCTACTTAATAATTGTGTAGTATTTATTGTGTGCCAAGCACCATTCTGGGTGCTTTACATGTAGTGGCTTTCATCATTCTCCAGCTATCCCATGAGGTAGGTACCTGCCTTTGTATGCACAATCCAGCAGTGCTTTGAGTTTGAAATTTCTCATCCATTGATGATTCTGTTTTCTCATTAATACTCACTTCCTTTTGTTCTCAGATTCTTCCTTTGTCAATGTGGAGTTCATGACTCATCATGATTACTCCCTTGCAAACACGATTGATTGTCTTTCTCTGTATCTGTAATGGCTTGGTTAAGTCCAGCCTCTTATTCCTTACCTGGCAAGCAGCTGTACAAACAAACAGTTCAGTTCTTTTTTTTTTCTTTTTTTTTTTTTTTTGACAGGCAGAGTTAGACAGTGAGAGAGAGAAAGAGAAAGGTCTTCCTTCCATTGGTTCACCCTCCAAATGGCTGCTATGGCTGGCGTGCTGCACCGATCCAAAGCCAGGAGCCAGGTGCTTCCTCCTGGTCTCCCATGGGGTGCAGGTGCCCAAGCTTGGGCCATCCTCCGCTGCCTTCCCGGGCCACAGCAGAGAGCTGAACTGGAAGAGGAGCAACCGGGACTAGAACCCGGTGCCCATATGGGATGCTGGCGCCGCAGGCGGAGGATTAGCCAAGTGAGCCACGGTGCCAGCCCCAACAGTTCAGTTCTTCAGGAAAATCACAAAGCCATGGTGACTGGTCCTTAATTCAGAGCCATCCTAACATTACTCTTCATCAGTTACAAGATTATAATTTTTTTTTTTTTTTTTTTGACAGGCAGAGTGGACAGTGAGAGAAAGAGACAGAGAGAAAGGTCTTCCTTTGCCGTTGGTTCACCCTCCAATGGCCGCCGCTGCAGCCGGCGCACCGCGCTGATCCGATGGCAGGAGCCAGGATCCAGGTGCTTTTTCCTGGTCTCCCATGGGGTGCAGGGCCCAAGCACCTGGGCCATCCTCCACTGCACTCCCTGGCCATAGCAGAGAGCTAGCCTGGAAGAGGGGCAACCGGGACAGAATCCGGCGCCCCGACCGGGACTAGAACCCGGTGTGCCGGCGCCGCAAGGTGGAGGATTAGCCTATTGAGCCACGGCGCCGGCTAAGATTATAATTTACAGCATGCTAAAGGCTTTTATGGAAACACCTCTGGATGATAAACTCTTTTTTTTTTTTTAAGATTAATTTATTTATTTGAAAGGTAGAGCTTCAGAGAAGCAGAGGCAGAGGGAGAGAGAGAGAGAGGGCTTTGATCCACTGGTTCATTCCCCAGATGGCCACGATGGCCCGAGCTGAGCTGATCCAAAGCCAGGAGCCAGGAGCTTCCTCTGGGTCTCCTATGCAGGTGCAGGGGCCCAAGGAGTTGGGCCATCTTCTATTGCTTTCCCGGGCCATAGCAGAGAGCAGAATCGGAAGTGGAGTAGCCATGTCTTGGACGGGCGCCCACATAGGATGCTGGTGCTGCAGGCGGTGGCTTTGCTACAGCACTGGCCCTAGTGGTAAACTCTTGATTAGAGACTTTCAAGTGCTCATTACCCATCCCTAGAATAAAGATACTTCAGATATTAACTAATGACCCCTAGCATATCAAAATTTTTGCTTAGTAAATTTACGGACGTAATAGTTGACAATTCTGAAGTCAGTGGTAATGATGTGTCATTTTCCAGAGGTTTTGTATTGTATGTAGGGACACTTCTCATTTTTGCTAGTGAGAGAAGAGATGGAAAGATTGTAGTAAGAGGACAGTGTTGGGTGAGTGAGAGTTCTCTTTCTTTAGGGACCCTCAGTGGAGAAGTAAAGAAAATAGGAGGGCTGTCATGGTTGCCAGCCATAACCCCAGAGGAAAGACTGGAAAGAGTTTGGGTTTGGAGCTTATTTAGGAAGTGAGCAAAACTTGGAAGTATTGATGAAAAAGGGGCCCCCAGGCCCATGTGAGGTTCTGAGTAGGTGGAAGGAATTAGCTGGAAGTTATGTCTCAGTTCAGTTTTCCTTATTATTTTTTGAGTTTGAGGGAGTCCCGAAAAATTTTTTGTTGACCAATGGAGGAAAGGATTGTATCCTAATCAGTTGTGGTGTTTGCAGAAGTGTCTGAGTGAATTTTGGGTTAATGTCAAGAATTCACCTTGGCTGTCATAGATGACTTCACGTGGATTTTGGGTCATCTGTAATGTGTTGGAGACTTAATTGTAGCTTTCCTTTAAATGCTGACAGACAGCAGCCTTACTAAAGTGCATAGAGGCAGATCTCTGTTAAATTTCACTGGAATTGTTGTCATTAAGTTTAGTTTGGAGGGATAATTTCTGCTTTTAACTCCTTTTAGCATTTTTAAATTCATATAAGCCAAATTTTAAACCACCAAAGTAGCAGTCCTATTGAATTGTATCATAAATCAGTTCCACCATTTATATATTATATGTAGCTGAAGTGCTCGTTCTTTAAAACTTTTTAAAAATTTATTTATTTGAAAGTCAGAGTTACAGAGACAGAGAGAAAAAGAGATAGCTTCCATTTGTACTCCCCCAATGGCCACAATGGCTGGACCTGGGCCATGCCAAAGCCAGGAGCCAGGAGCTTCTTCTGGGTCTCCCATGTGAGTGCAGGGGCCTAAGCACTTGAGCCATCTTCCACTGCTTTTCCAGGCCATAGCAGAGAACTGGATTGGAAATGGATCAGCCATATGGGATGTCAGTGTTGCAGATGGTGGCTTTACCCGCCACACCATAATGCCAGCCCCTGAAGTACTCTTTCAAAGTACATTGAGACTGCTTTACTAATGACTTTTGGTCTTGAATATCTTTTTCTACATTTTGATCAAGATGAACATTTTTTTGTATACAATGGTTTTTCTAAAAATGAACATCTGATTAAAATTTTCTTGAGTTTATCCATTTTGACCCATCAGGACTAAGTTAAAATACCAGTGGTCTCTTGACATTGAAAGCATTTACGATCTAACGCATACCTTTTTCATTTTCCCCTCCTTTTGGCTCCATGTCACTAGATAGATCATGTCCTCTCAGGCGTGGGGTCTTGGCACGGTTCCTTTCTTTGCTGTTCCTCACAGCTACCTTTTCCATCCTGGCGGTTTTTGACTTTGAGGTGCATTTCCTATGTGTTCCCATAAAACTAGATTGTATCTAACAGATAATTGTCTTTAATGAAACTCTGTCAAATCTCATACTAGCTTAGTCACATGCTTGATTTCCTTGTTTGTCTCCTACCACACATAAGATTTTTCTTGATGGTAGTTTGTTTTTAGTTTGCCATCTAGTTCTTCCTTAAATAAATTAATTAAAAAATTTTTTGGTAAAACATACATAGCATACTTGACCATTGTAACCATTTGTGAGAGTGTCATTCAGTTACATTACGTCTAGTCAGGTTATTGTGCAGTCATCACTGCCATCCATCCCCAGCCCTTTTTTCATCGTAACAGAGCTCAAACCCTGTACTCTTTACACAATCATTCCTTATACCTCTCGGTGCCTAGCCCGTGCAACCACCATTTTCCTTCCTGTCCATTATTTTGTTCTGGGTAATGTCTTCAAGATCCATCCCTGTTGTAGCCTGTGTCAGAATTTGTTCCTTTTTAAGATAGAATAATGTTTCATTGTATGAAGTTACTTTTAAAAGTTGATGGTTGAATGTAAAGATCAGTTTGGGAGCAGGGATTTGGCCTAGCTGTTGGGATGCCAATTTAGATGCCCACATTCTATGTCTGAGTACCTGGATTTAATGCCTGCCTCTGGCATCTGACTCCAGCTTCCTGCTAATACTGAACCTGCACTGAGGGCTTTAGTAGCTGAGTTCTTGGTGCCCATTTGGGAGACCTAGATTGATACCTGGCTCCCAACTTTGGCCTGGTCCAGTCCCAACTGTTGTGGGCATTTGGGGAGTATGCCTTTTTGAAATGCCCACATGTGTTTACCATATTGTAGTCTGTCTTTAATTTTGTGCTCCCCTCGCTCCCTCCCTTTGTTCCTTCTGCCCTCCTCATCCCCTTAAGTACCCTGCACAGTTTCTGGCACTGAGGTGTGGTTCCACGAATGTCTGTTGTTGGTTGAATGTGTTTTTCATGGAGACAGTGCAGTGATAATGGTAGGTAGCTGTTGGGTGATTGGGATTTTAAGTTTGGCTCTTGTAGTGGTTTTCTGTGTGATCTTGGATAAATAAATTATTTGTTCATCTTATTTCTGTGAAGTGTAGATACCAACCACCTCACAAGGCTTTTGAGAGGTTCTTTGAGATACAGAGGTCCCTGTTCTGAGAACTCCCAAAGGTACAAAGTTGCTTCACGAGCACAAACTTCATAGCAGTGTAAGAACATTCACTAATGAGTTAATCTGTTACAGAATTTGTCCTTGCTCAGATATGCCAGCTCCCTACCCCAGGTTATTCTGTCTGTGGCTTTTGATTGTGTGTGTATTTGATTTTGTTTTTTGAGAGGCAGAGAGATGAGAGAGAAAGAGAGAGAGAGACAAATACCTACAACAGTTTGGAACAGTTGGGGCTGGGGCTGGGCCAGGGCCAGGGCCAAAGCTGGGAGTTCAGTCCAGGTTTTTCACGTGGGTGGCATGGGCCCAATCATTTGAACCATCGCTGCTGCCTCCCAGGGTCTCCAAGAGGCTGGAGTTAGGGACCAGAGCCCAGAATTGAACCCAGGAACTCTGCTGCAGGACATGGGCGCCCTGACTGATGTCTAATCACTAGGCTACATGCGTGCCCTGGTTTGTCTCATGATTCTTGGACAATACCTGACAATAGAATAGAAAAGTTTTATGAATTGATTTTAAGGGGAAATCATATAACTTGCATACTTGCTTAAATCTGTGAAATTAAGAATAAGTAGGGATATGAAGTTAGATTAGGTAATCAAAAATGCTATCTGGATGAAACCCAAGAAGACCTAACTTCTTTCTTTCAAAGGATGTAGAGGTCCTTGGGAGAGCCTATGAAATGCTAGCTACTTTGGCAGAACTTGGGTTTTGTGTAATCATGAGGTGCCTGTCGAGCATGATTGCTCATTGTGCTGTCATATGCAATGTCAGAAGGAACCTCTCCCCAAGACTCAACAGCTGCTTGGTTTTTTCTTCATTTTGAGAGTTAGTATAGTTACAGTCACAAACTAAAGTTTTAAAAAATAAAAGCCAAAAACAAGGAAGTTTTAGTGTTTTTATTTATTATGAAACTTGTTCATGTTGGAGGTGAATTCACCTTAAGTGCCTTTTTTTCTGGTATCATTTATGTTACCCAACAAATGAAATTATAGTGATAATTATAAATGATGAGCATTTTATGAAAATGCATCTGTTTTGATACAGTAACCTCTTGACATACTGGTTGTCAGAGCTTCAGCCTTATCCCACAGCTACTCACTTTGGAAACCAGAGTAGACAAACATGTCACTTTAGGCAGGCCCAACACTTTAGGATGGCTCTGTAAGATATTTGGTGTAGATTCATTCTGTTTATTTAGAATTATTTTAATTATGATATATTCAGGTAAAAAATATTCAACTGAAATTCAGCAAGGAATATATGTAAAATCAATGCACTCATGTACTGCAAAGACATTTGGAAAACTATTTAAAATTTTTAAATTCACAAGTGAGAATAAAAGTTGATTTGCTTTAAAAATAAATGATACTTGGGCATTCTTACAGTAGGGGAAGAAGGGAAGCACCATTCTTTGTCTTTTTCCTTCCCTCTCCTGCCCCCGCTTCTTCATTCCTATGTCTATAAACTGGGTCAAAGCATCTAAAGTTAGAGGGGACTTCAGAGATAATTTCGTTATCTGCCTCTCCTCTCAGATGCATGATTCCCCCTCTTTAGCCAGTGGATTTGATTTTCTAGTGTCTGCTTGGAGTATTTTCGGTGACCAGAAATAGTCATTTCAATTGGAAATCTTTTTAATGGATTTTAAAAAAATGTATTAATATATAAAGAGGACAGATTTAATGTATTTCATAGATACAATTCTAAGAATATAATAATATTTTTCTCCCTCCCTCTCAATTGGAAAGTTTGATTGCAGCTCTTTCTCAGTACTGAGCTGGAATTTTTCCTATAATACAGACTTATTCTAATCCTTCAACCTGACAGCCTAAATCAGTCAGGATAATTAGTTTCCAAATCTCAGAAATCTAAAAACACCAAGTTTTATTTTTGTTCTGTCTTTTAAAGATTTATTTATTTATTTGAAAGAGATATCTTCCATCCACTGGTTCACCTCTAAAATGGCTGTAACAGCCAGAGCTGGGGCCAGGCCGAAGCCAGGAGCCAGGAACTTTATCTGGGACTTGCATGTAGGTGGCAGGGATCCAAGTACTTGGGCCATCCTCTGCCACTTTCCCATGCCATTAAAGGAAGCTGGATTGGAAGTCAAGCAGCTAGGACAAGAACGGGTGCCCGTTTGAGATGCTGGCCTTGCAGGCATGGGCTTTACCCACTGTGCCACAATGCCAGCCCACCTCCCCCAGTTTTGTTTAATTTATACTCATGATTACATGTCCATTGTGGCTTCCAAAGGGAGCTCTTCTCTTAGTCACACAGTGGCTGACAGAAGAGCCACTGTCTCAGAGGTAGCTTTGGGAGGTCCTGCATTGGCAGTAAATGCTCTGGTTCAGACAGGACATCTGTCAGGTCTGCTACGCATTGGCCAGAACTAGTCACATGACCCTGACTAAACTGTAAGATGAGATTGTGGGGAGATAGGAAGTGCAATTGCGGTTCTATCATGTGCTCAGAATGGGGGAGACCCAGAGTGATGCACTAACGACGATTAGACAGTCTGGAAAGAATCTGGAGATCTGTCATGTCTGTATTCCCTTCTTGCCTAGGAACGTGCCTGGTGTTTCAGCTCATTGTGATAGGATTTGTAATTCCCTGAGCCATCCAGTCATACTTGTTTTTCTGTGTTGTTCCTGAGGGATCTTGTCCTGAATGGAGCACAGTGTGGAATCTGGCCAGGGTAGCTAGGGACACACTTTTGCTTTTGGCAGTCTCTAAAATCAGTTTTAAACCTGACGGTGCCCAAGTCCTTCCTAGAACTGTTTTTCAGTTGTGGATTTAAATTTACCTTCATGGTTCAAGTTCAGATAGGAAGACACTGTAGAGTACAGAGATTAAAGTTTGAAGACTTAGGTTCAGATTGTGACTTTCAGGAGCTATATTAACACAGGGCATGCTTAATATTTGTCTTCAACTTGCTTTCTGATGGTTTTAACTTAACAATATTGATAAGAATGTGACTAGAACTGTTTTTGTAGACTTTCTGTAAACTGATGATTAGATGTTAAGTATTAGAAGAAGCATTGCTTTGTTCCATTCTGCCTAGGTTCACCAAACAATTCATTAGGGACTCAGGTGTTTAATTTCCTATGTTGATACATATGAAATATGAGTAGTGAACATATACTACATTCCTTGTGGGTGTAGATCATCATCACATAAATTTTTATACTATTATTGAAAAAAGTCAAACTGATGTGCTGCCTCTCATTTGCAGGTAGGGTTCTTTCACAGTCTACTCCTGGGACTCCATCAAAGACCATAACAATATCTGAAAGTGGTGTTATTGGATCAACTTTAAATTCTACAACACAGACACCAAATAAAATAGCCATCTCACCTTTGAAATCGCCAAATAAGGTAAAAAAAATTAGCCACAAATGCCAAATATTGTGGTTGATACCTTTATTTGTCTTACTGGTCACTTCATATACTTAAATTTTAATATATTCCCAAGCAAGTTTCAGACACTCAGTTCATAGTGGATTAATTTAGTGATCAAGGATACTGAACAGATAAAGAACTTACTTTAAACACATAGTAGCATCGTAATCATTTTGCATGCTAACATGACAGTCTTTCGAATCAAGTACACTGTATTGGTCTTTAGTTTCCATTAATATTTTAGCAGAATTATTGTCTTTGGGTAAGGCACATGTAGTAACCATATAAATAGAAAGAAAATGTTAAATGTAACCTTTGAAAAATGAAGATCTGGTTTCTTTGCTGGGTGACAGGATGCAGAGTAGTAGAAATTGCCATCAGATGCTGGTAGCCATATTATTTTATGAGTTTTTTTGAATACTTTCATTCAAAGCATTCAAAATCTCTTCACAACTTGTTTTCATTTTTGGCTGGCAAGTACCTATCATTTTATTCTCCAGATTAAGTCAGTAGTGTAACTTACTTTACTAAAGCATATAGGTGTCATTATGTTAGCACCAGCATGTTGAAGGGGTATGTTTTAAAAGATGTGGTTTTTCAATAGAAAGCCAAGCATTACTATCCTGTAAGTTGCCACCCTTGGGACTCTAGAAACAGACCTGCCTTCTTCCTTGATTTTTTTCTAGTTCATAAATAGAACAAATATTAAACATTTGCCTTAAAGTGTTTAAAAGTCCAGCTGTTGGTTTCTATTTTAGTGAGACCTGAATATAATGTATAAATTTGATGTATCTTGTGGTTTTTCTTTTTCTTTTTTTTTTTTTTAAGATTTATTTATTTATTTGAAAGTCAGAGTTACACAGAGAGAGAAGGAGAGGCAGAGAGAGGTCTTCCACCCGATGGTTCACTCCCCAATTGGCCGCAATGGCCAGAGCTGTGCCTATCCGAAGCCAAGAGCCAGGAGCTTCCTTCGGGTCTCTCACATGGGTGCAGGGGCCCAAGGACCTGGGCCATCTTCTGCTGCTTTCCCAAGCCATAGCAGAGAGCTGGATAAGAAGTGGAGCAGCCAGGACTCGAATCGGCGCCCACATGGGATGCTGGCACTGCAGGCGGCTTTACTAGCCCCTTGTGGTTTTTCTTTTTAAAGGGGAGTTCTGTCTACATAATAATCAAGATTTTTTTTTCTCCCCTAAATGCAGTGAACTCAGTAGATACTTGAGTGCTTCCTATGGGCCATGCATGGTGATAGGCACTAGGGATGAAACATGGATAAGATAGACTTTTTAGTTTCATGGAGTTCAATAAGGGAGTTAGACTGAGACATTAACAATCGCCCTACCCGACAGAACAGTAATGGTCACAGGTGGCTCAAGGAGCACTGCTCCAGGAGTGCCACAGGAGAAGGTTTGGGCAAAGCAGCAGTTCTTGAGAGGGCTGCACCTTAGGGTGGGAGTTAGCTGTGGGTAAGTGGAGGGGCTCTATGGAAGGAGCTCATTCTTTGCACAACAGTGTCTGTGTGTGACTCTCAGAGGAGCTGAATTGCTTTGGTAGTGTGGGAGCTCAGGAAGCTAAGAGTGGAGCAATGTCTCATTATCTTGAAGGGAGTTGGGATTTTACTGCTCTTAAAGATTTACGTGGCTTTCCGTCGCTTCTGAGTCAGTACTTCTCAGCCTAGTCTGCACCCTGGAATCATCTCGAGTGCTTTAATAATACTGCTGCCTGCTTCTCAGCGCCAGAGACTCTGTCCTTACCTGTTTGCCCTTTGGCCTGGGGTCAGGATTTCTTAAGCTTCCCTAAGTGATTCTCATAGTTGGCCTAGATTGAGAACTACTGATCTACTGCTGTAAATAATGTGAGATTTCCATTTTTAAAAAGATGATTTTTTAAAAGATTTATTTATTTAGTTGAAAGTCAGAGTTATTCAGAGAGAGGAGAGGCAGAAAGAGAGAGAGAGAGGTCTTCCATCTGCTGGTTCACTCCCCAGATGGCCGCAATGGCTGGAGCTGCGCTGATCTGAAGCCGGGAGCCAGGAGCTTCTTCCAGGTCTCCCACATGGGGGTAGGGGCCTAAGGACTTGGTCCATCCTCCACTGCTTTAACAGGCCATAGCAGAGAGCTGGATCGGAAGTGGACCAGCCAGGTCTTGAACCAGCACCCATATGGGATGCCTGCACTTCAGGCCAAGACGTTAACCTGCTGTGCCACAGCACCGGCCCCAAAAGATGATTTTTTTTTTTTAAAGTTCTTCCTTTTAATCATGAATGAATTATATTTTATCAAATTGTGTGTGGATAATTAGGAAGAACATGTGGGTTGTTCTCTCTCTCTCTTTTTTTTTTTTAATTTTTATTTACTTGAGAGACAGAGTTTCAGAGGGAGGTAGAGACAGAGAGAGATCCTCCATCCACTGGTTCACTCCCAAAATGGTTGCAATGGCCGGAGCTGAGCCAATCTGAAGCCAGGAGTTAGGAGCTTCTTCCAGGTCTCCCACATGGGTACAAGAGCCCAAGCACTTGAGCCATCCTCCACTGCTTTCCCAGGCGCATTAGCAGGGAACTGGATCAGAAGTAGAGCAGCCAGACTCAAACCAGAGCCCATATGGAATGCCAGCACTGCAGACTGGGGCTTTAACCTGCTGTGCCACAGCACCAACCCCAGTAAGATGATTCTTACTATTGTGAAAAGTAGTTTGGGGAAGGGAAGCCTGGGTTCTGGGCAAAGCCAGTTAACTTCGTGACCACAGTCTTGGCTGCACTTTAGAAGCACTTGGGGACCTCTTGAAAAAACAAATGGCAGGCCCCATACCCCATGTAAATCACAATCTTTAATCTGGGCCTTGGTATTAGATTTAAAGGTTTAAAATTTTGAGGTGTAGGTCAGGGTAGAGAATCACTAAGTTAGATGGTATTACCTCAGATTTGACTAGTCGCTGGGGGGCTAAGGAGGAAGAGATGTGTTGAAGGAGATTTAAGGATCAATGACTGGACATCAGGAGTTTGGGGAGGGTAAGAATCTAGGATGACTGCTTGATTTCTGACTTGACTGTCACAGTAGATGGTGGCCCTGTGGACAGATGCCACTGATAGCTGGGTTATATCTGGCGACATGCAAGGAGGAGCTAGCTTTATTTTTCTCCTGTCCTTGACTTGAGCCATACCGTTTGGGATCTTCTTTCTGTATCTCTTGGTGAGAGTTCACTTGGAGCTATTAAGATCAAGCCTTAGGGCTGGCGCTGTGGCTCACTAGGCTAATCCTCTGCCTGCGGCGCCGGCACCCCAGGTTCTAGTCCTGGTCAGGGCGCCGGATTCTGTCCCAGTTGCCCCTCTTCCAGGCCAGCTCTTTGCTGTGGCCTGGGAGTGCAGTGGAGGATGGCCCAGGTGCCTGGGCCCTGCACCCCATGGGAGACCAGGAGAAGCACCTGGCTCCTGGCTCCTGGCTTCGGATCAGCGCGGTGCTGAAGTGTACTTAGGGTGGTTTTTGGGATGCCCTCCGTGTCCACATTGCCCTCTTCCCTTTCAAGTAGCGCATACACTTCCACTGCCCTTTGCAATTTCTCCATAGCTGTTGCCTCATATAGCCGGCCCTATAGCCTGTTCTTGCTCAGTGCCTTTACTCCAGAAGGCATATGTGTTTGGCAGGTACCCAGAGGATGTCCCAGCCACTCCCTGGCCAATGGGAAACCTATAAAACCCAGTGGTAGAAGTACAGCTTGCCTAACTGTAGTCCTGTATGTCTTTTGCCCTGTCATTGTGACAGCTCCGTCCATCTTGGGCCTAGGCTCTGTATTTACTTAGTAGTCCCTAAAGTTCCTGAGGATGTGTCAGGTTCTGCTAAGGACTCTTTACCCTGTTCATTTCTGGTGACCAGACCACAATGGGTTTAAGAGTTCCTTCATCTTAGTAAGTTGCCAGCCTGCAACTCTAGGGTCTGTGTCGTGTTGCAGTTGCACCCAGTCTGCACTGCAGGTTTGCTTGGAGAATTCCTGCTTTGGTTCTCAAGGGATGTAAAGAAGCTCCAGCATCCTCTGTGTTTTCAAATTATCTTCTGTTTAGTAAGTCTGGCCTGGATATCTTGCCCTTCTCTTTAGAGTATGGACAGGTTTATCATTTGCGGTTCTCAGCTTCACAGTCTCATTTCAGCCGAATTTTGAGCTATCTCTTAAACTGCAGAGAGACTAGAGGAGGAATAGCTGGTTTGGCCAAACAAATGTTTAGTTCTTGGACATGTCTGTCCTTGAAGTCCCCACTGATCATCTGGAGGAGAGTGCTCGTTGGGAAGCTGAGTAGAAACAGACTAGAACTGCATTTAGATGAAATTGCCCAGGTACTGCCTCAGTTGTATGTAAAGCGAAAAGAAAAAAAAAGTAGGACTGAACCATAGAATAGTAAGTGTTAAGAGAAGAAGAAGAGCCAGTGGAAGAGAATGAATGATAGGAAAGGTAGTATTAGAAACTAAAGGAAATGTGAGGGAGGGTGTTGTGAAGAATGATATTGGAGGCCGGCGCCGCGGCTCACTAGGCTAATCCTCCACCTTGCGGCGCCGGCACACCAGGTTCTAGTCCTGGTCGGGGCGCCGGATTCTGTCCCGGTTGCCCCTCTTCCAGGCCAGCTCTCTGCTATGGCCCGGAACCCGGCTCCTGGCTTCGGATCAGCGCGGTGCGCCGGCCAGCTGTGGCGGCGGCGGCCATTGGAGAGCAAACCAACAGCATAGGAAGAGCTTTCTCTCTGTCTCTCTCTCTCTCACTGTCCACTCTGCCTGTCAAAAAAAAAAAAAAAAAAAGAATGATGCTGGGCCACAGTTTCAGATATCATGGAAAAGTCAGTTAGGAACAAATGAAACAGAATTTGCCGGAAATCTGCTTGCTCCCACTGATAGGAGCAGAAGGAGACCCCAGGCACTCACTGTTTCCTCTCTGCCGATGTTCCCAATCTGACCATCACTGTCTGCCTTGAATCTGCCAGAATCTCTCATCATGTCTCTCTGCTTATGCTGGATAAAACCAAACGGCCCAGATTCCTAGACTCTGTCATCTCCCACATCTTACCCCCTTAAGGCTCTCAATATCTTTTCTCTTTACCCCCTCTTGCAGTCTCCCCACTGGATTTCATAATCAAGTCTCCCAAACCTTTTCCCTTTTCACTGCGAGTTCCTTTTTTCTTCTGTTTCTCCAAAGGATACCGCTCCTGCTGCAGACCTGTTGAGTGGTGGCTGCGTTTCTCTGCAGTCCTGTGCACCACCAAGCTTGGAGGTAGAGGATGGGTTTTTCCTTTGCTTTGCCTTTTTTTTTTTTTTAGATTTATTTGATTTATATGAAAGATTATAGAGATAGGTAGAGCCAGAGAGAGAGAGAGGTCTTCCATCCACTGATTCACTCCCCAAATGACCACAATGGCTAGAACTAAGCTGATCTGAAGCCAGGAGCCAGGAGCTTCTTCTGGGTCTCGCACATGGGTGCAGGGGCCCAAGGACTTGGGCCATCTTCTGCTGCTTTCCCAGGCCATAGCAGAGAGCTGGATCAGAAGTGGAGCATCTGGGGCTCAAACCAGTACCCATATGGGATGCTGGCACTGCAGGCTGGGGCTTTAACCCACTGTGCCACAGCACTGACCCCTTTTGCTTTTCATTGCAGTTTCAGGCCATTTTCACTGCCTCTTCCATCTTTTAATCTATTGTTAACCAGGTTCATTGTGGGGAAGCAAGTGTTCATTTTATATTAAAGGATCATTTCTTCCAGTATGTTGTATGTTTGCTAATCTCCAGTTTTATTTAATATATATTAGTCTTGGAACTAGTGTTGTGGTACAGTGGGTTAGCCACTGCCTGCAACACTGGCATCCCATATGGATGCTAGTTCAAGTCCTGGTTGCTCCACTTCTGATCCAGCTTCCTGCTCATGTGCCTGGGAAGGCAACAGAAGGTGGCCCAAGTACTTGAGTCTCTGCCACCCATATTGGAGACTTGGACGGAGTTCCAGGCCTCTGGCTTCGGCCTAGCCTAACCCCAGCCATTGTAGTCATTTAGGGAATGAACCTGGGCGTGGAAGATCTGCCTCTCCCTCTCTCTGTAACTCTGCCTTTCAGATAAATAAATCTTAAAAATATTTATTAGATTTGCAAGTAATTAAACTAAAAAAAACTTGATTCTGCTTGGTTTAGTTTTTTTTTTTTCACATTAGATTTTAACAAAGCTATTATCCTCTAGTTTCTGGTCTTTAATCTGTCTTTTGTTCTGTAATCTTATTCTTATCTGTTAGTATTGTTTTTTTTTTCATGGCATATTTTGAGTTTGTTTCAGAAATACAGTGTGGCTTAACATTTAAAAATCTATCCATCTAATTTACATTAATAGAAAAAGAGTAATTTTATAAAGATCTTAATATATGCAGAAAAATCCTGATAATATTTAACTTCCATTTTGGTTAAAAAATCCTTGAAGCAGCAAAAGTAAAAGGACACTTTCATAATTTAAAAATAGAAAAAAATACATCAAACTTCATGTAATGGCAATGTTGAACAAGGGTAACTGCTTTCAATTCTTTTGTTTTTAAGATTTTATTTATTTGAGAGGTAGAGTTACAGACATAGAGAGGGAGAGACAAAGATCTTCCATCTGCTGGTTCACTTCCCAGATGGCCACAACAGCTGGAGCTGAGCCAGTCTGAAGCCAGGAGCCAGGAGCTTCTTCCAGGTCTCCCATATGGATGCAGGGGCCCCTGCACTTGGGCCATCTTCACTACTTTTCCTAGGCCTTAGTACAGAGCTGGTTTGGAAGAGGAGCAGCTGGGACATGAACTGTCACCCATATGGGATGCCAGTGCTACAGGAAGAGGCTTAGCCTACTGCGCCATGGTGTCGGCCTCCACTTTGAATTCTTGTTGAGTTCCCCTTTCAGGTGTGAACTAATGCAGTAAGACAGTGTATAACACTGTCATGATCCATACATTGCATTATTATAATATATAAAATTTAATATATATTTATGTATTATATATAATATACAATTTCAAAATTTGCCATTAAACTATTGGAATTAACAAATTAATTATTTGTTAATTATTTGGAATTAACAAATAAATCTAGCTAGCCTACTGGATACCTGATCAATATAAAAATATTTGTAAGCCATTTAATTTTTAAAAAATATTTATTTATTTATTTGAGAGAATTATATAGAGAGAGGAGAGGCAAAGACAGAGGGAGAGGTCTTCCATCCCTGGTTCACTCCCCAGATGGCCACAACAGCTGGAGCTGCGCCAATCTGAAGCCAGGAGACAGGAGCTTCTTCTGGGTCTCCCACATGGGTGCAGGAGCCCAAGCACCTGTGCCATCCTCTACTGCCTTCCCAGGCCATAGCAGAGAGCTGGATCACAAGAGGAGTAGCTGGGACTAGAACCTTTGCCCTTATGAGATGCCGGAGCTTCAGGCCTGGGCTTTAACCCACTGTGCCACAATGCTGGCCCCAAGCCATTTGTATTTCATATAAAATTTTTTTTTTTTTTTTTTTTTTTGACAGAGTGGACAGTGAGAGAGAGAGACAGAAAGAAAGGTCTTCCTTTTGCCGTTGGTTCACCCTCCAGTGGCCGCTGTGGCCAGCGCACTGTGGCTGGTGCACTGCACTGATCTGAAGGCAGGAGCCAGGTGCTTCTCCTGATCTCCCATGGGGTGCAGGGCCCAAGCACTTGGGCCATCCTCCACTGCCTTCCCAGGCCACAGCAGAGAGCTGGACTGGAAGAGGGGCAACAGGGACAGAATCCGGCGCCCCAACCGGGACTAGAACCTGGGGTGCTGGTGCCGCAGGTGGAGGATTAGCCTATTGAGCCATGGCGCCGGCCCTGTGTTTCATATAATTATTAATAGATTAGTTTAAATCTTTCTTTGCCCCGGCTATACTTTGTTCTTTAGCCTTTTTCTTCATTTTTTGGGTTAATTAAATATTTTTTATTCTTTTTCTTTTTAAGATTTATTTTTTATTTATTTTTAAGACAAAGTGACAGAGAAGGAGAGAGAGACTCTTCCATCCTCTGGTTCCCTTCCTAAATAGCTGCAACAACTGGGACTGGGCCAGGCAAAACTGAAACTCCCACCCTGGTCTCCCACATGGGTGACAGGGCCCAAGTGTTTAAGTCATCTTCTGCTTTCCTAGGCACATGCAGGGAGCTGGATTGGAAGCAGAGCAGCTGGGACTCAAACTGGCCTTTACTTGGTATATATAGTGAGATCAATTTATCTTGCTCTCTCTCTCTCTCTCTCTCTTTTTCTCTCTCTCTCTCTACCTCTCTCCCTCTCTCCCTCTTACCTCCCTCCCTGTCTCTCTCTGTCTATTGAGTGAGATCTTTCATCTATAGATTCATTCCCCAAATGCCCACAATGGCTAGGATAGGGCTAGGCCAAAATCCAGGAGCCCAAAACTCATTCTGGGTCACCCATGTGGATAGTATAGGCTCAAGTGCTTGAGCTGGTGCCTCCCAGGGTGCACATTAGCAGGAATCTAAATGAGAAGGGGAGTAGGGGGGACTGGCATGGTGGCGCAGTAGGTTAATCTGCCTGCAGTGCCGACATCCCATATGGGTGTCGGTTCTAGTCCCGGTTGCTCCCCTTCCAATCCAACTCTCTGCTGTGGCCTGGGAAGGCAGTGGAGAATGGCCCAAGTGCTTGGGACCCTGCACCTACATGGGAGACTGGGGGGAGGCACCTGGCTCCTGGCTTCGGATTGGCATGTTGTGGCCATTTGTGGGGGTGAACCAACAAAATGAGGACCTTTCTCTCTGTCTCTTCCTCTCACTCTCTGTGGCTTTAGCTCTCAAATAAATAAATACAATCTTAAAAAAAAAAAGAGAGAGAGAGAAAGAGAGAAGTGGAGTAGGAACTTGAACACAGGTACTCGAAACAGGATGCATGCAGGTATCCCAAGTGACATCTTAACCCACTGCACCATATAGCCTGCCCCATGATCTATTTTCAAATTACCTTTTAAAGTATTAAAAAAGAAGAAAATACTTTATTTACTTTCCTTTTAACCATACCCTACACACTTCTTTTCTTTATATAGGTCCCATTGTCAGTCTGGTATCTAACCTCTCTCTAAAGAAAGTTTGTAATGTTTCCTTTAATGAAAGACTACTATTCTGTTGGCTTTTGTTTCTTTGTAAAATTCTTTTTTTAAACTTTTATTTAATAAATATAAATTTCCAAAGTACAGCTTATGGATTACAGTGGTTTCCCCCCTCCAGTAATTTCCCTCCCACCCACAACCCTCCCCTCTCCCGCTCCAGTCACATCAAGATTCACTTTCAATTCTCTTCTGCCGGTGCCGCGGCTCACTAGGCTATTCCTCCGCCTTGCAGCGCCAGCACACCGGGTTCTAGTCCTGGTCGGGGCGCCGGATTCTGTCCCAGTTGCCCCTCTTCCAGGCCAGCTCTCTGCTGTGGCCAGGGAGTGCAGTGGAGGATGGCCCAGGTGCTTGGGCCCTGCACCCCATGGGAGACCAGGAAAAGCACCTGGCTCCTGGCTTCTGCTACCGGATCAGCGCGGTGCACCAGCCGCAGCGCGCCAGCCGCGGCGGCCATTGGAGGTTGAACCAACGGCAGAGGAAGACCTTTCTCTCTGTCTCTCTCTCTCACTGTCCACTCTGCCTGTCAAATAAATAAATAAATAAATAAAAATAAAAAACAATTCTCTTTATATACAGATCAGTTTAGTTTATATTAAGTAAAGATTTCAACAGTTTGCACCCACACAGAAACACAAAGTGTAAAGTACTGTTTGAGTAATAGTTATAGCATTAATTCACAATGTACAACACATTAAGGACAGAGATCCTATATGAGGAGTAAGTGCACAGTGACTCCTGTTGTTGACTTAACAAATTGACACTCTTGTTTATGGCGTCAGTAATCTCCCTAGGCTCTTGTCATGAGTTGCCAAGGCTATGGAGGCCTTTTGAGTTTGCTGACTCTGATCTTATTTAGACAAGGTCATAGTCAAAGTGGAAGTTCTCTCCTCTCTTCAGAGAAAGGTACCTCCTTTGATGGCCTGTTCTTCCCACTGGGATCTCATTCACAGAGATCTTTCATTTAGGTTTGTTGTGTTTTTTTTTTCTTTTTTCTTTTTTTGCCAGAGTGTCTTGGCTTTCCATGCCTAAAATACTCTCATGGGCTCTTCAGCCAGATCTGAATGCCTTAAGGGCTGATTCTCAGGCCAGAGTGCTGTTTAGGACATCTGCCATTCTATGAGTGTACTGTGTATCCCA